AACTTTCAGCGTCATTAAGCCGCTGCGCCACCGCGTCCCCCTTTGTCTACCTTATTCACCTCAAATTTGTACCAATCATCATGCTAAAGCTAAGTCTAGAGTAACAAAATGCAATGGCTATTTTTAAATAACGTAATATGCACAAAAAAATTAATAATATTGTGGCTTAATGTGAAGGCCTGGTTAAAAAACATGTTAATGTAATGGCTGGGTTCCTATCCCGCACTGAACAGTTAACTACGCAACTCCATTGTAGCCCAATCTAGCGCACTGTACAAACGCAACCAAAGTTTACTAGTTTTAATTGGGTTCCCATTCCTACTTGGCAAACATACCAAGAATATTGGACTAGATATTATTATTGCAGACTTCTTTTTAAAAAGAGTACATGTAGATTTTGTTTCTGGTATTTCAACAGCAAGAGCTAGAAGGTTGGTATTTTTCAATGAGTTAATATATTTATTATCTGCATTAACACAGGGTGTAAGATTCCCTTGATGTATATATACCATATAGCTTCTCCATAGTGCCTCATGACTGTAGGTTCAAGATCCAGAAAAAATACTAAGCACCTGGTGAAGCATTCTTGCTGATATGACAATGAAGGACACAAATAAGGACACTGAACCAGATGGGCCAAAAATCCAATTCTATGCAATGATAATTTCAGATGAGTTGGGTGGCCAATCAATTTAAATAAATAATGATGATGATAAGTTCAGCTCCTCTTTCACCAAGAGAGAGCATGAAATATAGGTTCTTTAACTGACAATATAGATAAAGCTCTTCTTCAAATTCCCCTAAAAAGACTGTCACGATCACAGATCTACTTACCAGGTTTGTAAAGTAATAGCCATCCTCCCCAGTCATCAGCCTGCTGGGGTTGCAGAACCGAGTAATGTACTGAATGTTGGACTGCAGGCGGGGTGGGTTGCCCTTCAGAACAATGTAGATGAGCGTGGGCAAGAAGTCATCAGCTGAAGCTGGCTCAGCCTTTGTGGTTCTGATTGCGTTAAAGATGTGCTTGCTGCAGCTAGTGATGCAGGCCAACTTGTCCCGGGGGACACGCTTCGAGTCCATTTCAATGATGTCTGCAAGTGGAAAACAATCCCAAGGATCAAAGGAGGGCTGCATTCACTGGCAGGGCTCTTTCTACTTTAGATGTCCCTTCCTCCATACTTAGAGTGTTTGCTAGGTCTTGCATGCCATCTTTCTTTTAAAGAAATAAAATTAGTAAACCTAGCACTATCAGCCAGCAGCCCTGCTGTACAGGAAAAAGAATGCAAGTTTTAATTTAATCAATCCACTGATTAGCCAGATGACCCAAAAAATGTTTTAGGCAATTTTAAATAGTTAGCTGCTTAAAAGAACGGCAGGTAACAGTGCTATGTTTGAAGAGGCATTTCTCTTATGTGTTAAAAGGAACAAGAATGCCTTCAAATGCTGCTGGCTGTAATATTATCATTTGTCCTTAAAAAATACGTCTGTCCTGACTTCCAGGGAAGAAGTGGCGAACTGAAGACAGTTCCGCTAAAAGCAGAGCCAACAGCCACAGGGGAATGAAGAGCCAGCAAGTACACTGGCTCTTCGTAATTCCTCTCCAGATGAGGAGAGGACTTGAGATCACCCACAAGTGCTCCAAACAGTTGTTCCTTGCAAGGAGACTGCAAGATAGCAGTCTCCAGCGGGTTTTGACCTCCGGGAGACAAGAGAATAGCCATCTTGCTCAAACCACGGTCGGTGCCTTTAGGGACACTGGGTTCACATACTTCCTTTTCTAATCACTTTCAGAAATTGCTTGTTAACTGCTTTTCCGCTATTAGGAACTTTTGAATCAACAGGTTTTACAGCACGGGGTGAGTTTCCTTCAATCCTTAACGAAAGAA